ATGCACTATGTAACTTCAAAGATGGAGGGGTCTGCTAGTTTCTTGTCTCCATGAAGTTATTTCTTTACATGGATTGTTCCACTGTATGGCATTAAACATACTGTATTTCCCTTGCATTTATTCAATCACAGGTGTCTTATAGCTCAAAAAATCCAAGAAAAACATTTAGATTAGATTAGATTTATGTATTTATTTTGGCCAAGTAAGAAATTCACATTCTTTTACAACAGAACATATAACATTAATGAAATCATAGCAGAAATAACAACAACAAAAAATAAAAAAAATAGCCCAAAAAGGACTGGGAAGAAGAAAACTTATTTAATCCGATCCCCCAACATGAATTCTCGCTATGTGCAGGCTTGCGTCTCCATAGATCTGACCGTTAACTTCATCTTCATTGCGATTACCTAGTTTATTTCCATACTGTGGAATAAGGGCAAAGCAATAACATATCCATGGAGACAAGCAGGTGGCGGACCTTCCTCTAGATAAATTACACAATGCAACTTTAATTTCAGAACATATTGGGTTAGATCAGACCTGGGCTTGCAACTCCCGGGCAACATACGGCCCTTTGGTTGACTCTGACTGGCCTGTTTAAGCTTATTTGGAATCACAAAATAAACATATTTGATCATTTTACCTCATGCATGGACTAAAACTGCATTGCTTTTATTTTAGATTTACATTTTTTGTAATGCAACCTCACTTTCTCATTGCTTAGTCATAACATAAACTCTTACCAGTCTTACCAGCTTGTCAAAACACTGCTATTTACGGCTTTTTATAAAGAAATACAATTAATATTATGCAGAATTGAGATAAGAGACGTGGCTCTGGATAAGCAGAAGAAAATGGATGGATGGATGAGTTAAGCATTTTGGCCCGGCCCTCCCCAATATTTTCTGCTTCTCATGTGGCCCCATGTAAAAAATAATTGCCCACCTCTGGGTTAGATGTTGTTCCTCCCATTAAAAAGAATATTTTGTTGTTTGCAGAAGAAGGGACCTTACAGATACTGAATTTAAATAACAATTCTGATTCAGTTGTGTTCATCTATTGGCAGTGTTTTATAGATTTAAAAGCTTTTAGCCTGCTAATATCCAGACGAAGGCAGCAGCTCTTGAAAAGTCCTTAAGTGCTGCTCATTTCGTCATTGCAATTATTCAAACTCAAGCACTTGTGTCTTGAACATTGTTTAATTCTCTCATGAATGAATCACCACATCTTTTCGCTGTCATCGCTATGGTAACATCTGCAATGCTCACAGCCATCTTCAGAGAGACAGCTACATGTAGTGGGATTGTGGAGGTCTTAATAATGAAAAGACCGGCTTCGTGGTCCAGCTTAGGCGCTTTATATTTGGAGACTTGTGTCCCTGGGGTCTGGCACCTGGCTAGAGATTCGGACTATCCCCTCTGCTACAATTAAATGATTAGGATCTTCTTCTCCATCTTATTCTGTCTCTCTCGTTTCCCATCACCGCTCTTTTTTCCGAGCGCGCCCTGTTTTTCACTCCTCAGATCCTCCGTAATCTCAGGGCGGGTTTCGCGGTTTCCCCTCTTCCTATTGTCGTAAATCGTCTCCACTCCTTCTGTCTATCTCATTTAGTCTTCTATTTTCAAATGTTGTGAATCGTATCAATCTGTAGTATCTTGGTTTTATAGTGACTTTTATTGTGTAACACTCAAAATTTATTCAGCTATCTCTTTTATGTCCAACCTTTCTATGTTTATGCTCTTATTTTTAAGGGACCAAGTCTGTTTCCTTTCAAGGTATATGATTATCTGTAAAAGTTTTACACAAAATTGCTATTTGAATGGTCACAATTACCAAATCAGACTGTTATTATTTTAGTTATATAATATCTTTACCAGATAAAACCCATTGAGACACATTTGCAAACAACCTCATAGGATAGTTTAGCTGTCCATAATATTAAAGGTGCACTGTGTAACTTATCTGGTGTTACTTGTTTGTCTCTGTGGATATGTTATTTTTTTGTTTTGAATGTTGCACAGTAGAGCTTTAAACTTGTCTATTATGACCAAGCACCAGACCATGTTAAAGGGACAGTCCAGAATTTTGGACATAGGACCTCATTTCCTAGTGAGCCAGAGTGTGGGGGACATGTGGAGACACTTTTTTAAATATTCCATCCATTCCTTGTATTTGCAGAGGTCGCTGGTGCTAGGCTAGTGCATGTCAATGGCCATAGTTATCCTGCTACTAAAAATAGTCTTACCCACTCCACAAAACACCCGAAGCAAATCTTTTATTACACCAGACTGTTGATGTAAATGTCTGTGTCGATAGAATGATTTTAGAAGTAAAACCACCCTTGCATTTGAAGGATTTATGTCCGAGCAGAAGCAGCAAGTTGTGCTTCCTGATAGAAAGCTTGGCAACGGCGGACTGATATATGAGAAAATAGTCCCTCAACATGTGACGATTCATGCGATGCAAGGTTAGTTTTATGTCAAACATTACTGTCACACTATATCACACTATCACGCACTACACTATCAACACAGACATTTACATGGACAGTCTGGTGTAATAATAGATTTGCTTCGGGTGTTTTGTGGAGTGGGTAAGACTGTTTTTAGTGGCAGGATAACTATGGCCATTGACATGCACTAGCCTAGCACCAGCGACCTCTGCAAATACAAGGACTGGATGGAATATTTAAAAAAGTGTCTCCACACATCTCCAACACTCTGGCTCACTAGGAAATTCCAAACTGTCTCTTTAAAAGTCAGATCTATAAGCGTGCATGTTTTTTCAGTGTGCTTACTTTTTTTTTACAACGGAAGCATCTGTAATTGAATAAATGCATAGGTAGCTACAGTAGGCATATGGAAAAGCAATAACATCACAATGAGTGGAGGACCTACCTAACCTATAAAAAAGTTACATAGTGCACCTTTAATGCTCCTGAACGCAGAGTTGCATTTTGAGCTTTGGAGATAGAGACAGACTAATAAAAAACAATAACTCAAGCATGTGTGAATGAAACAAAACACAACTCCAGGTCTGTTTTTGATGAGGAAACAATATTAAGTCAATTTAGGATCTTTAATTTCTAGTCCAAAGCCAATTCACAATCCTAATACTTGTTACTAAATGATCAATTAGAGATTGCAGTTAGTTTCCATGTAAATCCTAGGATTGCCGGCTGTCCTTGTCTCTCTTGCTCTACCTATAAAAGCACCATCCCGGCCCCTTCATCCCCTCTCTCCTCTTCATCCATGCTTGTTTAACTGAGCGCGCGTCACGGTGCTCCCGACCACCTCCTCTCCTCATTTGTGGTCCGTTACAAAGCTGAGATTAGGTTGTCTGGGCCATTTTAGCTCTCCCTGCGACATCATTGTTTTGGACTCTCTTTCTCTGCCTCTGACTTCTTCCTCTTTCCCTTTCGGCTTTGTACACAATTGTTTTGTTCCAGTGACCTCTGACCTTAAGCACTCTCCTTGGTTAATGGAAAACAACAATGTATTCCTCTGTGTGGTATACTCATGCACCAGCCAAGTCTAATTACTTTTGCCTATTATTTCCGTGCCTTCTGTTGGTTCACTTTTAAGGCCAGTTGCTGTAACGTGTGTCTACTGGTTTGGAAATGTGAATACAATCCCATTAAACCATTAGCGGTCATATACTGAGGACACATCATTTTATAGAGAGCCCTTTTGGTTTCATTGCAAAGCCTTTTATAATTTAATTATAATTTGTGACATTAAGCTGGACAGGGACGGCAGGTGGAAGCTAATTCCGTTTTTTTTTTCTAAACCTGGCACATGGCGTTCTTATAAGGTTAAGGTTTTCTTGTGCATTGTCCCTGATCAAATAATAAAATTCAAGCAGGCTTTAGTCGTAGGATCTGGCAACCCAAAGTGAGGAGCTCATTCTGCATTCACATTAGATCATATATTTTTAATTTTTTATATTATTTATTGATTTATTACCATATTTTCCACACTATAGGGTGCACTCATAAGCTTCTAACCCCATCAAAAAACGACTGCCTGCCCCGCAATCCAGAGCGCCCTATACAAGAATCCACTCAGGTGTCCCAGCATGACTTCAGTAAACTACAAAGCCACACCACCCGCAGCGCACGCAAACACACACAGAGCAGACAGCGACCGCACAGTGAAAAACACCCGCAGCCACACTTATCACTCCACACGGATGAGGAACGGAATGGAGGAGTGCAATGTGCCACTTGTAGACACAACTGAACAACTGAGTCACTGCGAACACGCCGACAATCCAGCGGTCCCAGACAGCACCCTCCCTACACACCACAATTGAACAAAGACAAGCGTCACTGTGAACGCGCCAAACAAAGTCCCACTGACCCATCGAACTGTTGTGTTTCGCCTTATAGTCCGGTGTGGTTTATATGTGAAAAAAGTTTGAAAATAGACCATTCAGTGACAGTGCGCCTTATAATCCAGAGCGTCCTATAGTGCGGAAAATACGGTAAACTGTGGTGTAATCAATATTTATTTCATTTTCAGTAAGAAATCAATATTTGATTTGAACATGTACTTATTATCTCGGGACACAGATAGGTCATGAAATATTCAGTTAGTGCCCTACACCCTGTGATTGAATTATGGTTTATGGTTAATTATCCAATTAAAAGCCCTGTACCTGTGTTTTGAGCAAAACATATCTTGCCTCAATATAAGATAATTTATTAACAGCTCTTCGAAATATGTGTACTGTGCACTGTTTCCTACTAATTATAAAGCGTTTCACTACTGCTTCGGGTCTCTGAGAGCTTTGAAAAGCACTTAAAAACTCATTGTGGTGAATAATATGGATGCTCAGAAGGCATAATTTAAGTGAGGAATAACTTAGGACAGTAAAAATCGGGTACAGTGCCTTTAAGATTGAAGTGGGATGGAACTGAACCATTGATACACAACTTATTTTTCCATGTTTTTCACTGTTTTCCCTCTTTCTCCCCCTCTCTTTTACCACCCCAGATGAAATAGAAATGCTGGAGCGCCTTTGGCTGTCTGGAATCTGCCATAATGACAAAATTGAGGTGATGAGCAGTAAACTGGACATCGACAACATGGCTGGGGTCTTCTACATGCTCCTGGTGGCCATGGGGCTCAGCTTGCTGGTCTTTGCCTGGGAACACTTGGTCTATTGGAAATTACGCCACTGCATAGCCACCAACTCTGGGAAACTGGACTTCCTCCTGGCCATCAGCAGGGTAAGACTTTTCAACATGTATATATATTTTTTTACATATATATATATATATATACAATATACTCTGTAGACTTTTGATAGTTTTTCTGTAAAATTCTATTAAAAAATGCATTTATATTGTATAGTTTTCTAGAGAAATGTATCCATGTCTGCTGAACATTATGTAAAAATCAAACTGTCCCTACTGTAAATGAATTATAAGATCAAGGTCAGATTTATTTATATATCACATTTGCACATCTGCATTTATAAGATATGGCCAAAAGTGCTTTAGAGTACAAAACGAAAATTACAAAGTGAGACAACAATTAAAGTCAGTATCTAGCAGAGGTGGGACCAAGTCGTTGTTTTGCTAGTCTCAAGTAAGTCTCAAATCTTTGACCTCAAGTCCGAATCAAGTCACAAGTCAAAGTCGTCTGCTTTGAGCTTCAAGTCTTTTAAAGTCTTTATACCAAAGATTTTTGTAATTTATATGAATTTTAAACTTTAACAAATGTTAAATATTTTAATTGTACTTAAAAAAAATCATAATATATTTATATATGAATATTTATAGAATATCTAAAAGTTGTAGAAATGTTAATTTTTCCTTTTTAAATGTCTGGACAAGATCTTGTGTGAAATATTACAGTCAGAATAGAAAGAATTCAGTTTTAAAAGTGCTTCTCAAGTCTTCTCAAGTCACAGGCCTCAAGTCTAAGTCAAGCCCCAAGTCACTAACCTTCAAGTCAAAGTCCAATCCCAAGTCTTAGTCCATTTTATCAAGTCAACTCTCAACTCCTAAAAATAGTGACTCAAGTCTGACATGAGTCCAAGTACTTGTAAGTCCCCACCTCTGGTGTCTAGTCAATATAGCAAAGCAAAATGTCAAAGAACAACAGTAAAATAGAGATAAAACAGCTCAACTTGTATTAAAAGCCAGTGCATATAAGTGAGTTTTTAGTGTGTATTTAAAAATGTACAGTTTGTAATGCTGAAGGGCAGACTATTCCAGAGTATAGCTGTGAACACAAAGATCTTTTAATACAAACAGAATTGCTTTTTGGGATATTGGAATTGGTCTTACGAACGCATCTAAAAATAATGACTAGCCCCTTATTATGACTGTATGAATTTGCGTCAATCTTTTTTCCTCATTATTGATTGACCTTAATGAGTACGGTGTGGGTATTAGAGTAATTGATATTAATACCATGTGAGGAGTCTGCCCATATTATCAAACAGAGCAACTGAAATTCAGACTTAACCTCATTTATTGCATACATTAGGTCTGCGTACAATTTAACCTGCAAATTGGATAGTGGGGGTAGCTGTGTGTGTTATTAGCCAAATTAAAAATCAGCTTTATTTGACTGGTGAGCTTGTGCTAATGCCTTGATCATGCATGCTATAGCTATTCCCTGCACACAGCTGTATAAACATGTGTATCCTAGGATATGGTGCCCTTGTGTCGCGCAGTAGGAGTGGTGCGGAGGTCAGAGGTCAATTTAATCCCACTCTGTCAATTGGAAAGATTAATTAAAATTCAATTCTGCTCACATCCTGGATATCCTGTTCCTTTGGCAGTGACCTTGGCCAACCAGACCATGTGCATGTCATTATAGTAGCATCACTGATAACATTTTTTTCTCTCCCTCCGCTGTGTGTAATTTATGCATTGGTTTAGAAATCTTCATTAGGCTAACAATGTAATACAGAACTATAAATAGAAAGTGTAATGTTTGTGCGATAACAATTGGCTATGTGCGATCTGGAACAACTCTGAATACAATAATTATAATTGCATTTCCTCTATCTCAGCTCCTGTCTGTTTCAATTGCACTATGTGTCTGTAAGTGTATTCTTTAACACTGCAGCATCTAAAGTCACACTGTTTAAATCTTCATGTCTTCTCTGCTGTGTTGATTGGTGCTACTTTCTGTGTTGTGTTATTTCAGGGCATGTACAGCTGCTGTAGCTTTGAGGATGAAACTGCACCAGGTGGCCCAAAAACTCTGCCCTCTCATCACCACGCTGCCATGGTGACCGTCCCGTCCCAGGCTCACGTTGTGTCCACGTCTATGACCAGTCCAGCCATGGCTCTGACCCAACAGCAGCCGCCTCCACAGCAGCAGCCTCAGCCTGTGTACAAAACACCTCTGCCCGGCTCCCCTCCCACCGTGCTGCACTCGGGATCCGCCCTCGGCCCTTCAAACAATCCTATTGCTGGTGCACCTCTCCCCTGCTCCACCTTCCTGCCTCGGCCAGATCGCCGCCTGGCTGTGGTAGATCGATGGAGGCTGCCCAAATCTGCTACTGCAACCAATCCTCTGGCTCTCAGGGGTGGGATCACCGACATGGGACCGTTTGCTCAGAAAGTCCCTTCAAACTGGCCTTCATCTGCTGGAGGAGGCGGGGGACTGGATGGCTATAAGCGCTACTATGGTCCCATTGACCCTGAGGGACTGGGGCCCTGCATGGAGCAGCAGGCAGGGTCCCAGACCCCCAAGACTATCCCCCGGGGCCACCCCCAGCCTCCCCCTGCCAGTGTGGCCTTCTACTCAGAGAAGGGCTTGGACCATGGGGTGGGGAAGAGGGCTGTGGGAGGTGGCAGTGGAGGTCAGGGCAAAGGGGGCACTAAACCCCTGGCCACGCCCAGACTGCCTCCAAAGAGCCAGGCCCCTCTGCCCCCCACACCTCCGCTGCCACATCCCTCTCCCCCTCTCCCCTCATCCTTCTGGAGGAAACGAAGGCCCAAGAAGCCCAAAGAGCCTGGAGGGCCGCTCTATGAGAACATTCTGCCTCTGGGACGGAGGGGTGGGGCACGGGACATTGTGAGGGAGGGAGGAGCGAGAAAAGGACGACCCTTGTCTCCTCCCCTCTCACTCCCAATGCCTGTGCCCCTCAGCCCCACTTATACCCCTCCCTCCCCCTCAGCGTCCCTGCACTACACCACCACCTCCTCCTCATCCTCCTCTTCATCCTCGTCCACGTCCTCCTCCGCGTCCTCGTCCCGCTCCACCTCTCCCACGTACTCGTACAGCTCCTCCCGCAGCACACGGGACCGGACCGGAGGCATCGACGCCGAGGATGACGACGACGATGAGGAGCTGACGGAGGAGTCCAGCCTTCTTTTAGGGAGAGGGAGGGAAAGAGAGCGCTCACTTATACGACCTCGATCCCTGAGCCACGGGCGCCTGCCGCCTCCTATTCCTCCCAGGAAACCCCGCACGTCCTGGGGCGATCGGGAGAGGGAGCGGGAGAGAGATAGGGTGGGGAGCCAACTGTCCCAGCTCCAAGAATGGTGGGCTAGTTGGAATGAGAGAGAGAGGGGAGGGGTGGGTGACACCGATAGGCAGAAGCGAGAGAAAAAGAGGAGAAAGGAGAAGGAGAAAGAGAAGAAGAAAAAGAAAAAGAATAAAAAGAGGAAAAAACGTGAGGAGCGAGAAAGGGAGAGAGAGAGGGAACGGAAGCGCAGGAAAGTTAAGAAGAAGAAAAAAAAAGCTATCAAGACAAAAAAGCATAAAAAATCCACCGGCGGAAAGCGCAGTGAGAACGAGGAGGGAGATGTGGAGGCAGAGAGGGAGGGGGATGCAGAGGGAGAGAGGGAGGGCGGCATACAGGACTACTCTTCCTTTTCGGCACAGTATAGGAGCACATTTGGAGAGAAAGTACGAGATTCGTGGGACGGGGACAGGGCCAGGAGGGAAGGGCCTGATGAGGGGAATGATAGAGAGGAAGAGGACAGCAGCCGAAGCAGGGAAAGACGACCAAAATCCTCCCACTCACGCTCTGCACATCGCACTCCCAAACGCTATCCAAACCTCAACAAACTCCCCGCGTCTGTTAAATTCTGGGTCAACGGCAGAGAGGGAGACTCAAATACCACTCCGACATCTATCCATCCACTTCTTCCATCCACCAAGCGACGGAGGAGTGGAGGGATGGACCGGGAGGACAGTGGTAGACAAGGGGAGCGGCGACCTTTATTAATGCATTATGAGAAAGAGAAAGCACAGGCGAGAGAGGGACTGTCGTTTCCTGAGTGGGATTCAGAGGATGATGATGATGACGATGAGGATGAGGAGGAAGATAGAGGAAGGAGGCCAGGCAGAGGGGCGGTGTCCGAGTCAGAGAGGGACAGGGTCAGGGTCGAGGACAGTTATTCGGATGAGGGCTCGTCAGGTGAGTTTGGACGGTTTGAGAGGTACTGGGAAGGGGGCGCAGGGGGCAGTAGCTCTGGGATTGGAGGCATAGGTGGAGGAGGTTGGTTCTTCGGAACATACCCCTCCAGAGAGAAAGGGGGCAGTGTGAACAGCAGAGATGACTCCCTGCTTGGCACCCGCGCAGAAGGCTGGATCGGTTCTGATTTCTGGGGGTCCGGACCAGGCGTGGGCTGGGGGTCCGGAGGAGGGAGCGGCGGTCTGGGGTCACAGTGGCCCCCGCCCCCCGCAGCCTTCCCACCACCGAGAAGATACTGGTCCATGGACAAGATCCCAGTGAAAGGAGAGAAGCGGTGGAAGGGTGGGAAGAGTAAGAGGTCTCGGGACAGAGATGACCCTGGACGATCCACCATATGCTCCTGCAGCTTGTACCCCCACCCTCACCCCTACCCCCACGCCCACGGCCGCTCGCACACGTCTCACAGCAAGAGAGGAGCCACCACACTGTCCCACAGCCAGGAGGAACTCCTGCCCCATTGTCACAGCTTCAGTGGTGGGTCTCGACCCAAGCCCCTCCCCCCAAAACCTGACCCAAGTCAGTCCAAATCAGGCAGCCAATCTAACCTCAGCCTCGGTGCGCAGCCTGCTGACCATCCAGCCCAAGCCTCTCCGTCGCCCCCTCAGCAGCCCTCCCTGTCCCCCACGTCGCTCCCCATGCCCATCCCCCCTCCCCCCTCGTCGGCCTCCGTCTCGCCTCCTCCGGGGGTCGGGATGGTGAGCCAGGGACAGGCTCCGGCTTCAGCCAGTGCCAAACTTCAGTACCAGAGACTGCGCTCTGTGCCACAGCCACGGAGGTTTTACTCCCCTCACCTGCCGCTCAAAGCCAAGAGCCTGTGCTCCCGCAGAGGCTCCGCCCACTTCTCCAGCCTGGAGAGCGAGGTATGACAGGGGGACAGGAGAGAGGGAGACGTCAGAGCCAGCACCACAGCAGCACCCCAGGGTGCCACCGCAGCACGTGACATCAGAGACATGGCTGCCTTGGTGACCCTCGGAAATCAACTAGCAACCATCACTTCAAGATCAGACCTGGATTGTAGCTCTGTTGCTGGGCCCAGTGCGAGCCACAGCGTTCCCACACGGACTCTTGTACGTGTTCTGGTGAGAGCCACAGTGCGACGCCACACCCAGATGAGCTACATCCGCTTGGATGGTTCCCATGACGACGAGAGTGAAGGTGAGGCTGCATCACTGGAGACAGCACCTCCTGAACTTCTTCTCCGCTCTGAATTGAGCTTTGTGATGTCATCGTCCGTCCTCCTCCCCTCCCCGAGTCACAACTGTGGATAAGACAGTCTCCAGTCTGTGAGTAATGATGTCATATTTGTGCACCGACACAACACGCTGACACACACACGCACACAGACGTCTCCCTCCCTCTGGTTCTAAGAACTCGGTGGTGGGAACCTCCTGAGAGGGTCCAGGGTTTTTGCTCAAACTCTGGCTCTGTCCTTTTGGCTGTTGGCCTTTGAACTGAAGCTTTTGGCCTTTGGACTGCTCCTTGCTGTTGGAAGGACTGCCCCTTTTCTTCCCTTTTGTAAATCATTAATAAGAAAAGCAATGCAGTCACCCTCACGTTCTGTCTGCCCAATCACACTCACTGGGCACAAGGACAGTGTTTGGTTTCTTTCCTTTTGCTGTTTGTTGCCATCACATGCCAGACCCATCTAGCTCTACCCCAGGACCATATGAGAGATGTCACGGTTTATTAGAAGCCCTTTTAAGATCTGCGTCTCCTCCGCCATGTTGGAGCTGGTCACCTCTGGTCCGCCCAGGACCTGAACAGTTGAGTGTCTAAGGTTCAACAACAAACTGAACTTTAAATCAATATAAACAAGAAGACGTAGCAGATTAATTTCATATCTGTCTTTGGTTTTGTAGACTCTTCTCCCAGTCTCTGTCCTTTTTTATTCACTGTGTTAGTGTTTTAATAAAGAGGGTGCTGGATGTGGCTTGTGTTACCGGTGGGAGTGAATCAATAGTAATGCCAAAATTTCCCCCTTGAGATTTTAAGCAAGATTGGTTTGTGGAGCTGTTATTTTCCCAAATCCCCACTCTCTTCTCCTCCTGTGAACTACACCTATTGTCAACATGTTAGTGGATAAGGGATGATGGTGCAATATCTGTAATTGGCACTAGATGGCTGCATAATATTTAAATAAGCATGAGTGAAAATGGGGAGAGGCTTCATTATTATGTCTATATGATGTATAGCATGAGGCTGGAGCTATGGCAGAATTATGCAGATGACGCTGAGGGAATTAGAATACAGCGCAACTGAGACATTTTGTAATTGTCAATCAGTGGAGCGATGCAGAAATGGATAAAGATGGATTTTACGAAGCACAATTCCTAATCACATTTTTTACCCACACAATTATTTATAGTCAACTGGAAATAGTCAATGTTACCAAGTTGTGTTAGAGCTAGAGGTGTATTCTTGGTAATATGAGGAGGAGGAGCATAATAACAATAACGTGCTACGAGATCATCAGACTGTTGACTTTGAGCAATATTCCTCCTTTAATGTGACAGGGATGCAATGGGACTTTGTTTGCACCTGATACAAAGCATTTTTCTTCATTTAACTTTGCTTAATCCAACTTGGTCCCATTTGTAATTGTAATGTCTGATTAAAAAGCGATTTGTTTAAGCGGTGAATTATTACATTGTGTATCTCTGTGTGCCAAAAGCCATCTACTGTGTAAACTGTGCCAAGTTGTGACGCATAAAATTTTACGAGTTTTACTTTTATTGTTCCGTGCGCGGTCAACCTATCCACCTCACCTCTCACACTAAGACCAGCCACAGCCCAGCTCTTCTCCTAATGTAGTTGAATGTAGCTTTGACATGATGTAGCAAAACAACACCTTTTAGACTCCTCTAGTAGCTTTTTGGTTGCTGTTGCTAAGGCTAGCTGAAGTCGGGGTTTAGCCTGGGATGTGAGACTATGTGTTTGTGCATGTTGTCACAGAATAAGACTTAGTCCACCTTTACATCTCCCCCCTTTTTTGGACTCAAGAGCAGAACTGTACTTTTTTACCTGCACATGAATATTGCTTTTTCTAGACCATCGCGGGGCAGCTTTGAAAAAAAAATACTGACTTTGTTTTAAGGAAAAGCTTTTGTCTCTCTCCCCTTCGTTAAGAGGCCCCTCATTGCATGTTTGAATGGTAAGATTTGAGGCAGAGGGTCGCGTAGATCAGTTTGCAAATGCGTTGGATCCAGGTAGCCACTTTTTAGATTTTAAGCTAAGCACGCTAAGCAGCAGTGGGGACTCAAGGGCAGCCGCTTGGTTCTTGTGTAGTAAAGACACAATCCTTTTCCACCAATATACAGGGCTTTAACCTGGGATGTCAGTGGTTTGCATTGATTTCTATTGAGGCACTAAAACTTACGTCTGTGACTGCATGAACAGAAGTGACTCTTTAAAACCCTCTGGCTTATTTTCCTCATTTATTTTCATGCTGAGAAAAGAATATATTCAAATATACTATGTTTTTTGAGAATGTACTATGTTATACTGTGATTTAACTGAGATATTTTATTGTATTCATTTGAATTCTATCATTTATCTATAAAGAAATATATATGTACAAATAAATATATACATATATATATACATACAGGTATATATATTAGTTAAGTTTGGTATATTTGGAGGAAGTGTTAGATAAAATAGTTTTCAATGTTTTAGCTTTGTAGCGATTCTAGACACTGAAATCATTTTTGGATTTTGATTCCTCCTATATGACTGTGAAGACATTAGTGCCTGTGACAAAAAAAGACAAGTAAAAGTCAAAACTCTATCCATCTGTATCTACTCTAGCGATCAGTCTATCACTCTCTTGTACTACCTAGCATTGCATTTTGACACTCGGTTCCTTTACGCTTTCTGTCCTCCTCAAACATCCTGCTGTTTGCTTTCGCCTGCTTAATTCTACAATATGGTTTTACTATGTTCATTAATAATCAAAGAACATTCTCCTACAATTCCCTTCTTCTGAGTTTGATCCTGTGGTACTCATCTATTTTTGTCCTTTCACTTTTGTGTCTCACTTAGCAAAAAACAGAGACCAGTAGATACTGTGTTCTTGCTCCTATTGACTGATTGTTAAAGATGATGCTAATTACCTGACTGAAGAAATTATTAATGAACTATGTTACTGTTGCTGATGTGACTGAAGTGTGTATCTGACGACCACGCCACTGTAGCAAGTCTGGGCTGCATCACACCACCACACTGAGCAATGGAGGCCGCTGTTGCCATGGTGTTGCAAGGCATTTTTCTGGCGTTGCCATGGTGTCCCTTAGCGCCCGCATCACCTGGTACCTGCTGGGTAATATAGAATAATGTCCCTCCCCAAAGTACAGGTCCAAGCCGCCTTCGCTCCTGCTTTAATCAATGAAAGGTGAAATATTTAAATCACGCTAAAGGCACTCTGAAGCTCCAGACCTGCCTGCCCACCGAGACTAGACTGGGATCAACTTTGCATGCTGAATGTTAGGGCTACACAATATGAGAACGAACATTCGAAGTGTGTTTAAAAATTGTCATAACAATCTTGTTGGGACTTTTTTCACATTGAAAAATATCAGAAATACACAACATTTATGATGGATGGTTCCCAAAATAAACTATAAGAGCTTAAGAGGTTGCAACCTTCATGATCAATGTGCATATTTGAAATGAAAGATCCTATTTTATGAGAAAAGCTATAAATATATGTATATATTATTTCATATTATGCATTTTTACAATCAGCTTACAGTCAAGCTCAAAAGGTAGGTCAAAATGTCAACATACTGTATAAACATAGTTCAGGTAAATCAGTGTATTAGTCAAATTACAATCAAAGTTTAATAGAGACTAGATCAAGATGAAAACAAATAATGACATAAGAAAATATCACAACTATGAACATATTTTTTACAATAAAATTTTAAATGGAACTATTTATCTCTGTCAGATCATGAACTTTAACATTATCTGCAATATTTCGTCTTGTCATATGTACTGGTATATTATGTGAACCAATATTGTGATACTGTTGATTTAGCGATATATTGTGCAGCCCTCCTACCCCCCTCCTCGACAGCAGCATGCCCCCCTCCTCCTTTATGCTAAATGTGTGTGTTTTGATTTGACAGGGCGCGTGCTGCGAGCCTGCCGCATGTGCTCTAATCAGTCCCTGCAGCATGACTCCAGCGCGCCCTTGTTCTCCTCTGACTGATAGACGTTCAGGAAAAGCCCACACACTCTTTGTATCGCATGCATATTTAACACACAATATCTGCTCAGCTCATGATCCCCATTTCAATCCAGACCTCAATAAGCTGCAATCAAAAGCATGGCCTGCAGTCGTCTGATCTCACGCACACATAAAGATCGCTCGCACTAAGGAAACGAACAGCCAGTGCATTTACAAACTTAATGTCACGTATTTCTCAGCTTTGCACGCTTCTTTTCTCATTCTGACTGAACTTCAGGCGTGGTTCTGTGCTTTGAGACCTGGGAGGCAGCGCGTGTGGTGCTCCTGAATTCAAACAGGGTCCTCATTGGCTAACACAGCCATGAATTATATCATGGAAACACAGGCGTGCCAGACGTCAGCTGACCAGGCCTATAGCTGCAGTTTGTCATACACAGAAAAGACATATGGGGCTTCTATATTAAACCCAGCAGTTCCCAGAGTGTGTGAGTGGCTCCAATACTGTCCAAAGCCCAGTTCTGCTCTAGTAACCTTGCCAACACTAAAGACCTACTTCTGGGTTGCTAAGGCAGGTTGCTATAAGGGTGATGTCGCTCCTAGCCCAGACTGGTATGGTCTATGCCCTATTTTAAATGTGTTAGTTTATTTGACATTGTCTGTCTGGGGTGGGGCTGG